TAGTGCTGCTTTCCATAGTTTCTCTTGCCATCTGCACCAGCAACATATAGCAATCAAAATGCACAATTTATCAAATAAAAGGGTTGTTAAAATAATAGTTATCTATCATATTTACTGAAATAGTAGTAAATAATGATAAACATTATTACACTTTCTCGCCATAAATTGCTGCTGATTGTGGGGTGACTTTTGCAAAGGCGTTGTGTAGAGAGGCTGTAAAGGTCCAAACAAGGAGTGCAATGAACATAATGAAGAACGCTATCTCTGTCACAGAAACAATGCCAAGAGGGCCCTTTATGAGCACTACACGCTTCCATATGGTTACCTTACGTTTCTTTGCATTGCTGCTGTTGATGCACAAAACATACACAGGATAAGTCAATTATCAGAACTATATTTCTTTTAAGGACTTGCTCCCATGTTAACATCTTTCTTCTACTGTCTTTCTATGATTTTGTTCTATGATAATAGATTTTTTTTAGTTATCTATACCATGTTTACTGAAATCACTTTACATTAAATAAGGATAAAACCAGTGGCCGAGCATTTTAAGGGGTGAAGGCCATGGCCCCAAAATTTTAAGTTATTATTTTAATTTTTTTACATATGAATTAAAAATTATTTATACTTTAATTTTTTTGTAATATTTTTAAAAATATAGTTTAAATTTTATTAATAACTTTATGTCACAAAATAAATATAGAATAATACTTTAATTAAAATTAATCTCTAGTAATTTTCTTTATTATAATTTTTTAATTTATTTATAGTAAATAAGTGTTTGATTTTTATAACATCATTACTCATAACAAATTTTAAATATTAATTATACTTTTCATACATGAATAATTTAATTAATTAATTGATATTTTATACTATTTTCCTACATTTTTTAAATTCATTTATTTGTGACTTTTATATTCTCATTATATATAGGAAAGTTTCTTGTTGTACAATATAATTTAAACTCGCAATATTATATTATTGTGAATTTTTCTTGCAAATTATTATTTTTATATAAATTTTGTGGTTTTGCTTACAATTTTTTTTTCGTCAAATTATGCTGTGATATTGATAAAAATATGATTATTTTCTTAAACTTATCAAAAAAATGATTAATTTTTTTTTTATATTTTCTACTGATTTTCAAAAAATTAATTTTTTTTGTAAAAATATAACTTAACTTGACTTCTAAATTTTAACAAAAATAATTTATAAATAAATTCTCCCTTTTTATTTAGAAAAAGACAAAATTATATATGAAAGTCGTAAAACAAATATCTGATGAGTGCATCAATAAAATACAAAAAAAAAATTAATATCATAAAATATTTAATTAAGAAAATAATTGATATTTAAATAATATTATTAAATATTTAAAATCATATTTAATGTTTACTATTATTTTCTAATTAGAATTAACTTATTTTCACCTTTAATATAGATTTTTTAATTATTAGCAAGGCACAACTCCAATTGGTTAATATAGTAAACAACAATTTTTTTATATAAAAAATTTATTATTATTATTATTATTATTATTATTATAATGATAAAAAGTAAAAATTAATACATGCACATTTTTTTAATTAATAATTACAATGCAGTATCATTTAATATTACATTTAATATATTTAACACTTCATTTTTATCTACATTTATACAGTATCTATCAATATTTACTATGCGTCGAATACAATTAAATTAAAGAAAACTGTTAAATGCTATATTAATTTATTAATCATAATCATTACTCCGTATTTATTTTTTCAATAAATATAGCATCTAATACCAATCTTTAGCTATATATTTGTGTGTTATTAAAGTCTATATTTATTAAATGTGATATACTGTAATTTACTCTAATAACACATTAAAAGTTATATTTAATAATTATAATATATATATATATATATATTTTTTATTTTTACTTTTTAAAAGTTATTTATTTAACTTTGTTCTGAATTAGATTATTGATTGTTAAAAAAATTATATATTAAAACTATTATTGGAAGAGTATCTTTTTAAATAAAGTCTTAATTCAAATCTTATAAATGAAAAGCATATGATTAAAAATAGATATTTCCCTAAAAATAATAATTTTGGTTTCTAGATATGACAATGGGGTAGGTTGGGACTCGGGTACGAGTTTAATGATACTCGTCCTCGTTCCTGTCCCTGCGATTCAAATCCATCTTTGTCTCTGTACTTGTTAGATATGTAATTTTTGTTTCATTTCTGTCTCTATCGGGTAGGCATGGCAACGAGGCGGGGCGGGGGCGAGTTTTACGTTCCCCGCCCTGCCCCCGCAAATTTAAACCGCCCCC